ATCCGTTTCAACAGACCTGGACATTTCAATCGCTGCTCTTCGCGTGTTTCGGCAATGCCTGATGGATTCCAGTTTAGATATATCAGTTTTCGATTCAAGCTTAAGAAGTTTTGCTCTGAAGAATTTATTCCAAATTCGAGCATTAATTTCCTGGGAAATTAAGCAAGGCAGGATGAATCAGGAAACCAGAATCAGATGAATCAGAAACCACGTGGTGGACGTTAGGAGACCCACCGATGAACCGAATCTCTCGCAGACGCTTCATCCATTGGCACAGGATCGCGAAGCACGAGCGTCTGTCTACCTGAGCTGCCAGTATGATAAATAATAAGGTATCCTCTTCGTCACTTAAGTGTTTCTGATTATTCTAAAATCTGGTACTTGCATTTCAAATGTCCTACTGACCGCCAAGACAACTCATTTGGTACCTAAAAGTGTCGTGGTGGTATCTCTGTAAATCACTTTATCATTTTCTGCGAACGTGTAAGCAAACAAAAAGAGCAGTCCAGTCTTTTGTCATTTCATGTCTTTTTGCCTTGCAGCCCCTTGCGAGTATACCTGTGAGTCCTGTGGCAAGGTCTTTCCGAATACCTGGCAGCTGAACCGACATGTCAAAGAAGTCCATAAAAGTACGCGCCCCTTTTCTAGTTGCTGGATGACTGTTTCCCACGTCATCTGCTAATGTGCTGATTGCCCGCGCTACGAATTTTATGCATATTTCCCTAAATGGCTATCATGGTTTATTTGGCCAGAAACGCAGTGTTGGTGTTATGTTTTGTCTTCGAAACGCGGATAATACTATCTCTGCCCAACTTGCCACCTATCCGTTTAAAGAAAAATTCATAGGCTTAGTTCCATCCATTAATAAGGGCAGTAAATATATGGGAGAGTCGTCGTGTCCTGCTCTCGATGCTGAATTGTGCCTTTCCAGACAGTCCTTCGGTCTATTGTGTCCGCATCCTTGTATCAACTTCTCATAACCGTCGATCGCTTGTCTCTGAGTACCGTTTGCGCAAGCGCACGTAGATGCGCGAACTGCGTCCTCGTTCGGCTTTCCGTAAGCCCCCTCCCGCTTTAGCGCTATTTATCTTCGATAGCTGATTTTTGACCCTGCCAGAGGTGTCTGATTTGGCTCCCCTAATTCCTGTTCGCGTCTACTAAGGCATAATAATCGTATTTACCGGATCAACTAGGCCGTTCTTGCTCCCGTCGACATGGCCGTGTCCTTCTTGTTGTGCATTCCAGGGTTGCATCTCGGTCGAGAAACAACGAATCCTGTTATGTGTAACATGCGTTTTTCGAATTATTAAAGATTCATGCGGTCTATACGCCGATTTCCTTAGGTTTTAGCCGTCACCTACCCAATCAATGAGCATAAAATATTTAGGCTTAGGCCGTCAACTTTTCCATCGGTCAACTTACTGAATATTATAAAATGTTGGTGACAATCATCCGCGGGATTTCTTTTGAGCAATGTGCCCTATTTCTCTCATCTGTTTTTCAGAAATACAAAGGTGGACCTGCGAGATTTGTGCCAAAGACTTTTCCAGGAAGACGCACTTGAAAGAGCACGTTGATTGTGTCCATAAGAGTACGTCCTTCCTCTCCTACCTTCACTGTTATGTCTCTTTTGCTTCCTCCGGGCAGTTTTTCTTGCTCCCTATGCCTTCACAGTGACTTCGCTTCATTGCTCATAAGACTGCTCTAAGGTATATTTCTCTCGGCAATTTATGCGAACCGGTGAGTTAAACGCTTCGGAACAAACCTCTTTGGGTTCGCTCCGCAGGCTGATATGGATAGGTGAACATAAATTAATCAGCTGCTTTGGCGTAAGTGCGTAGTATCCACCAGCTGCAAATATATAGCTAAAAGTATCTTAATACCGAAATCATTTGCTATGACAATAGAAAAAAATACTTCAGAAGACGAAAAAAGACGCGATTGCTGGGACGGACAGTTGATTGGTTGGACATTTTGAATTCTCACTCAAAGCCATCATAAGAGACAGTTGTATGTGGTTGTCTGACCCCCGCGGCCCACAAGTACTAACTTCCTTGTGTCCTTATTACCCTTTTCTACGTCTGTCTCTGATGACCTGCGTGAGGGGGAATTCGAAACTTCAGTCTGATAACGTGCTCATTCTAGCGACCGCATATGCTTGTTCTTGAATACTCCCTGGACCTCACCTTTTGCCTCTTTTAGTGCAGCTTAATGGCCAGATGCTCAGTTTTCACTTATCTTTTACTGCTTTATGTGGCACCTGTAAGAGGTTCGGCTCATTAATGGATTCCCCAATACTATGTCCCCAGGAGTAACAGGCAGGGGGAGGCAAGGCCCGTTCTGAGTCTTTATTCAGGACAATACCGAAATCATTTACTATAGCAATAGCGAAGCTGCTTCATAAGACGAGAAAGACACGATTGTTGGAGCAGGCAGTTGGTTGGCAGTTGGTCATAATCAGCGACAGTTGCATGTGATTGTTTTGGGCCCCGCGGCCTACAAGCACTCGAAGGATGGTCCTCAGGCAGCGGTTATCAAACAACTCCAGTCTTCGCTTATCTTCCACGCGCAAAAGCCAGCATTCACAGCCATAGAGGAGGACTGACCAAACAGATTTGTGGTACACGCGACGCTTCGTGGCAATATAAATATCACGTCGGATCGATAGGTACAACATTCGGATGATTGAGAAAACGTTGCGAGCAGCATCCATTCGGGAGCCAATGTCGTCCTTGTTCGGTAGCAGCATCACCAAGATGAATTCAAATTTGTCTGCTTCTAGCGGTGGATCTCAGTGAGTGAAGTGCTAATACTGTTACTGACGCTAATATTTGGTCAGAAATGACACTGGAGTCAGGTTTCGGCCCGTGTTCCCTCGATGTCACATAGGAGTGGGGCCTGGATTTTGTTATTTCCAGTAGAGTAGGTGTTTCAAGCCCGGAGCATATGATTGCTTTCCCTGGTTGTCTCCTGAACTTTAAACTACTAGGGCTAGGATGCCACTGTTAGAAGTGTTGTTCCTAGGCTACACCTAGTTGCCAACAGTCAGTGATGTAGGGATGCTGAGTAATTATCAAACTGGCAGCGATCCCGTGTGATTTCTGGTGTATGAACTGCAGTTTCAATGCCTTCCTGTCTTTTTTATTAGGGAAGAATAAAACATGTTTAGGATCATGCCTTTTTAAATTTTTCCTTTGAGAATTGCGAGACTTTGAGAGTAGGCCAGGTTAGGTGAGACGGGCTGCAGTAAGTCAACTTAGCACTAATTCAAACTTTAGCCCTTTACTCATGTTTAACTTAAATCTAACCGCAAGCCTAAGCGGAATAAGACACAGCTACCTAAATTAAAATAAGTAGACATTATGTGATAACAAACTGTCAAATTGCATATTCGACACGCCGTCCTCTATTTGTATCGCTGATGAGTAAAATATCGGTACGGGAGCTTTCCACGGACATACCTTTTGTGTGACTTTCGGCGTACGGAACAAACATGATGCCTACGAGATACCATCGTCTGTAACTGTATGCATATCCTGCGCGATTTGTTCTGTTCAGATTTTGGCTACGCAAGCACTGGCTGTGGCTAAGCCGGGGTCGGACACGTGCCTTTGCCTTTAACTAAAGACGTTATTAATTTTTAGGAGAGGGTGGGCGGTAAAATTGGTATTTCGCTTCAGCCAAGTTCTTTTCTGTTTTTTCTTCTATTTATAGAGGTACGCAACTTCACTTGTGAGATCTGTGGTGAGGCATTTTTTCGGAAGGGAGACATGACCAAACATATTGATGGGGTCCACAAAAGTAAGCTTCTTTTGAACTCAGCATATTTATTTCAATGCATATCTTGTTTCGTTCGCGATAATTTTCACTCTTTGGCTATTTATCTTCTCTCACGTTCAATCGGTATAACACTAGTTAACGGAAATGAAAGTGAGCTCGTGACGTTTCGTCGTTCCAGTGACTTTCATGCCCTTTTAACAACGTATGCTTTGTACTCCTTGTCTGTCACCCATTATGATAAAAGTTGGGCTTCCGTGTTAGTTCTAAAGGTCAGGCCGATAACATGCTCGTTGCAGTGACCTGTCTGCTTCTCCTCAACTGCTCCCTGGAACTCACCTTATTGCCTCTTTGAGCACAGATACTAGTTAAGTGGCCGACTCTTCAGTGGGTACGTCAAAGTTCCCGGCGGGCTATCTGACAGATACGCCAGTTTTTATATTTCAGAAGTTAATGCGCGAACTTGAAGTAACTCCTTCGAAACAAAGTCTGATCAAGTCGCTCCAAATGTTGGTTTTATTATTTGAATTGCCATTCTCCAGTTACTGCATAATAATCAAGTAACATTAATTAGCTGACAAGAGGCAGTCAGCAGTGTAGAACTTCTGAGTAATATAACATACCGAGAGCATTTAACTAGCTAAAAGCCTAGTCACGCTTGTTTGGCCTATCCTGCATAAAAAAATCCACAATTTATCCGGCTCAGCGATCCGAGTGTGCTTTCTGAGATAGCAAATGCAGTTTTCATGTTATGCTGTTTCTAAAAAACAGATAAAACTCACTGCGAAACTTTTGGGGATTGCAAGATTGGGTGAGAAGGCTTGCGGTAGGTCAAGTTCGTACGAATTAAAGCCTAAACTCTTTCTGTAGCCTTCATGCTTACCTCCACACCGACCGCAAGACTAAAGCAATTACAATACACCTACCTAACTTAAATAAGTAGGTGGTAATAAACCACCTAATTGCCTATTTGATCCTCCGTTGTCCTCTAAGATTTCGATCTGCGAACGTTTTCCCGAATAACCTGTCTGAGATGAATAGAAGTCGTTCGGCTTTTGAATTCTGTGTCGAAATCTACTTCCATTATCTGAAATTCCGTTTCGTTATTCAGGTTTGTCCTTACCTTTACCCCTCCTTCCAAGAGCAGAAACGAGACTGTCATGTATCAGCGTTGAGTCGGAGTCATTGTCCAAGAGGACTAACGTCCGCGTCGTGTGTTGCTATTATCGGGTATTCATGGGAACAACTGCGAGGGCTAACTCCAGAGCCTCTACAGGTCCGACTAAATGATGAATGGGAACAGCTGACGGATTATTTAGTTCGTTATCGTCTCGCTGCAGTAAAGTGTTATGTTCTTTGCCAATCCCTTCGACTTTACAGCCATGAGGTGTCCTGCAGTTCCTGGCGATATGATTGGCTTTCAGAAAACGAAGGCACAGTTTGCGCTCTTGTACCATTGCTCGCCATTCCTTCATTCTATAGGCAATATATGCAGAACCTTTGTCTGGATAGTGATCTTCTCCATAGATCGTTCAAATGCGGGCGCGAGTCTCGCTTGCTTCGATGTTGTTCGAAACATGCACGTTCCTTTGTGGATTGTTTGAAAATGTTTGTGCCTTACGGGACTGCCGATTTTTACGATTTTCTCTTAAACTAGTCGATAATCGACTGAAACGAATACAGGTGATAGCAGCACGTTCTTACCTCCGTCGACAAGGCCGTGGCTTTCTTGTTGTGCGTTCCAGGGTTGCATCTCGGTGGAGGAACCAGGAGTCTTGTTATGTATAATTTGCGCTTTTCGAATTCTTAAAGACCCATGCGGTCTATGCGCCGATTTCCGTAGGCTTTAGCCGTCAGCTATCTCATAGATGAGCCCATTCTGAAACATAAAATGTTTAGGCTTAGACCTTCAATTTTCTATCGGTCAACTTACTGAATAAATAAAAAGTTGGTGACAATCATCCGCGGGATTTCTTTTGAGCAATGTGCACTATTTCTCTCATGTGTTTTTCAGAAATGTGGACGTGCGAGTTTTGTGCCAAAGACTTTTCCAGGAAGGCAAACCTGAAAGATCACATCGATTGCGTCCATAAGCGTGCGTCTTTCCTCTCCTACCTTCACTGTTATGTCTCTTTTGCTTCCTCCGGGCAGTTTTTCTTGCCCGCTATGCCTTCACAGTGATCTCGCTTCACTGCTCACAAGACTGCTCTAAGGTATATTTCTCTCGGCAATTTATGCGTGCCCGTGGGTAAACACTTCGGAACATTTCTTTTTCGGGCTGCCTGGGGAGCCCGCTTAGCCTGCCCCTGTCTCAGTTTTTCTTGCCCGTTATGCCTTCACAGTGATCTTGTTTCACTGCTCCACGTTTTAATCCTCTCGGCAATTTATGCGTGCCCGTGAGTAAACGCTTCGGAACAAGCCTCTTTGGGGCCGCCTGGGGAGCCTGCGTAGCCTGCCCATTTCTCACGGAAACCTGATTTTAGGGGAGAGGACGGGAGGGGGGGCATGTCAGGGAACAACTTAGATCGCAATAGTCCTGTAAAATAAGAAAGATGCCAGGATAAGTTGGGGACTGTACTCAGACGTCGGGCGGGCACACTGAAGTACGCTTTAATATCATCGCTAACCCCCAGCCGGACCAACGGCGAGCGCGTTTATGGCGGGGGAGTATGCCCTAACTTTGGCATAGGTCATTGAGCTACATTTTCTAGTAGAACCACTAACCCCAACTAGAAAAAAAAGCTATCATTCACGTTGTTAATTTGAAAAGCCATTTTGCTTAATATAGTGACTTAAGCGGTTATTGTGTGTGGTGACCTTCGGAGGACCCCTATGTAATTCAATGCCATCATCCAATGCCTACAGGGTTGACGGCCGGCGTCCAGAAAACTGAATATCGTGGGTAATTCAACCTACCTAAAATATGTAAGTAAGTGATTTTAATACATTGGGTCCTTTCGAAGACTCCATAAGGAATCCTTACAATTTTACCTAACCCCGAGCCCTTCCAAATTTTTTCCTAGCATTGCGGATGCCTCCAATCCCAACGATTTGTCATCGCAAAAAAGGCGTCTGCCAGAGCTGCCATGAGAGCTCGCACCGTGGCTGTCGATCTCTCGTCAGATCTGACTAGTCCATGTCGCTGACACGTTCTCAGGAAACTTTCAGTTCGTATTAATTAAAATACCAGTCGTGTATCATGTCACTTGTAGACTAGCGATATTCCTTATCATCGAACTTAAAAGAAGCCTATGATCAACTGAACTCTGCTTGTGATATATTGAATCTCTTGCTTTGTTTTCTTTTGTTTCAGAAATTCGAAATTTCCCCTGTGATGTTTGTAGCTATTCTTTCAAAGAAAGGGCAAAGCTGCTTAGGCACGTTAACTCTGTGCACAGACGTACGCCTCCTTTTCTTTCATTCCTCGAGCTTTTCCCTCGTCTTCTTGCCTGCTCTGTGTTTGTCCACATTTTTTTGTGACTCGCAAGCGAATGAGGCCGGCCTTGGCGAGTGCATCCTTACATACAATAAAGTTGTCCTATTTGAGAAATTTAAAGAATTGTTTCCCCATTTTCATCATATTTGCCACCAATTTAAACTAAAAAGGCTAGGATACCACTCTTAGGATTGCTGTTACTATGCTAGGAGTGCGAGCATAATGATCTGTTATTTCATACCTGCAGGGCTAAACCAATAAAAACACGTCTACCTAAATCAAATCAGTAGGTGGTAATAACCCACCGAATTGTCTATTGGATCCTTCGTTGTCCTATAACATTTCGATCCGCGAGCGTTTTCCGGTCAGACAACTTGCGTGGCGTTGAGCGTATGGGACAAAAATTTGGTTGCTTTGACCGATCACCTTGCTGAACTTTATGCTGTCCAAGACATAAGGTTGTTAAGTACCCACGCCTTTCATTTTCTTAAAAGGGTTTACCTAAATACTGAGTCTTTAAGCCATAACTTCTTGTGCAGCTGTCTGTTTGGGTCATTGTTTTAGAATCGCCCTAACATGTCAACTCCTTTTCGAGAAATTTAGGAAACTATGCTTAAGGCTAATCAAAAAAAACTTCTTTAAAATGTTACGTCTTAGAAAGCAGGTATTCGTTTACGGCGCTACAGAGAAAACTCATGACATTCCGTGACGTTTCGTTTACAGTCAATTATGATCAATATCTTTGGCATAGTAAAAGAATTAAAAAAAAGTTTCTAGCCTTTATTAATGTTCGTTTATAGAACAACACCGACAAAAAATGAGTTTTAGTCCGCGGCGTTCAGTAGCGTAGAAAATTCCGTAGATATCAACGAACCTCTGATTTGGCCCAATTCTGTTTCTATTTGCCACCAGGATTGTGATCTAAACTGAAGTCTTTTGTAGCACGCAGCATTTGGCGCCTCAATTCGCCCCAATTAACAAAATATACAAACTCAAATATGTGTTAAATCGTCAACTCAAATTTTGATCTTCACACTTATGAGATGTAAGATCTCCTCTTTATAACGTTACTATGTAGAGAAGAATAAAACCCACTGCGAGATTTTCGATGTAGGTAAGATTGGGTAAGACCGAATGTAGTAGATCGAGTTGACACTAATTAAAAGAAGCCCTTTCCCTAACCTTCGTGCTCAATCTAACATCGACAACAAGCCTAAGGCGACAAAACACACCTACCTAAATCAAGTAAGTAGGTTGTTCAGCAAAAATTCCCATTTCTTTTACGATTGAAAAGTCGTGTTGGCAAAC